ATTATAAAAAAAAAAATTATTTTTGTGAGATATAAGTGTCTTACTAAGCATTTGCTTATTTAAGTTAATTCATATTGCAGATAGACAAAAGGGTAAGGTGTAGATGTGGAAAGTCTTGGAACGGATGCGAGCTATGCATATGATGGGAAAATGGGAGGATCGATTCGTGTGGATAATTTAATTTAGTTTAAAATAATTTGTTTTGGAGACTTTGGTTTGTGGTGATTTAGATTATTTTGAACTTCCTTAAGTTTATTACTCAGTATGGATTTTTATCATTTATTTTTTAGCATGGAGTTTTTTTTTTTTTTGATAAAATAAATGTTTTTAAAAAAATATGATTTCTCTAAGTCATTTTGTTAAGTAAAGAAAATTATTTCAAGTTTATTAATTTTCCGTAATTTTTGAGAGATAAATGTTGAAAGTTAAATTTGTTATATAACAGTTTGTGAGGGGTCGTTTCAGTGTTTTTCTGTCCGGCAACGCCACCCACAAGAAGTAGAACCTTAAGAACCATGCAGAGACAACAAGAATTTGGGGAAAGAGAGAAGAGAGAGAGAGATTGCACTTCGATTTTTTTTTTGTCTGTTGTTATAAGTACCTTGTTTACACATTTTTTAAAAGGGAAATTGAAAAACTATCCGTTTGAGGGTTTTTTTATTTTTATTTTTGCAACGGGCTTTTTAGGGAACTATCTTTTTTTTTTTTTTTTGGTTGCTCTGAGGGAACTATCGGTTGAATTTCAATTTTCCATCAGATTTTTTTTTTTTTTTGATAATCCACCCACAAGGCCGTGAATTTTTACAAAAAGAAAAAGTAAAAAAAACATTATGTAATTACGTTTATTAGATTATTTTCATATAGAAAATCTCTCGATGGGTTTAGGTAATTTATTTTATCGTATAATTCGAATTTGTATTTATGTTTTTTCTTTTCCAGTGAATTCCCTCTATAGCCCATGAATGTGGATAAACTAATTAAATTCTTTTCCTCATTTTATTTTCTTCATCAATTAAATTTGAGACTTTTGGCAATTTGTTTCTTAGAACAAGTCTCTTCACGAATTTGGATGATTGGTAGAAAGTGTCCAGGATTATTGGAGGTTGTGATGTAGTTTTTTTCTTGGATTCCTAGGTTTTGCTGATCGTATGGCTAAATGGACGTCGATTACTAGTTTATGTGGGTCCTTTAGTCTTGAGGAGGTGGCTTCCTCTGTGGTTACCATGACCTAGCTGTTTTGTTGGGTTTTGAATAAAAGTTTTCATTCAGAAAGCAAAAAAAAAAAAAAAAAAAAAAAAAAAAAAAAAAAAAAAAAAACAGTTAGAATGGACTAGACATTAGTTTTTCACTCTCATAGCTTATTCAACAACAAAATTCTCTCTCTAGACGATGTATTTTGCAAAAAAATAAAAATGAAGAACAAAAAAACAGAATAAAAACAAAACAAAAATAAACTCAGTGACAAATTGTACGTACACATTTTGATTTCTTGGTAAGAAAATTAACGAATCGAAACAATAACTCTTAGAATTAGGCTTTTACAAAAGAATTTTAAGACCAGTTTTTAATAAATTATTTGACCGATCATTTTTTTTTCCTGTCTTTCAAATGAAATACTACTTTTATTAATAAAAAAATAAGGCAACGTACACATTTTGATTTCTTGGTAAGGAAATTAACAAATCTAAACAAGAACTCTTAGAATTTGGCTTTTACAAAAAAAATTTAAGACAAGTTTTTAATAAATTATTTGACCGATCATTTTTTTTTTCCCCGTCTTTCAAATGAAATACTACTTTTATTAATCAAAATATAAGGCTATTTATAGTTTCTTTTTAGTGAAGTGTAAATAACATTTTTGAATTTTTTTAATATTTTTTTCATCATATGTAGCTGTTAAATTTACAGCGAAATGATTAGATTGACCTTTATGTACTACAGTAATAATGTAATATTACTTTTTCTATATTAATTTTTCGATCGGTATTTTAATTCCTTAGCAACATAAAATTATATTCCTTATTTTTTCTATATAACATTCCCGATTAGTATTTTCTTTACCCTTATCTATTACCAATAAAACAAAACAAAATATAAATGGATACATACTCCAACTAGAACTCCAATTCCTACGTACCCCAACTCCAACTCTGAAACTATTAATGCAGCGCATAGTTTGCTTATTTATAGTGGCTAACTTGCTCATTAGCTCTCATATCTCTCTCTCTTTCACTCACACACACTCGCAAGCATAATCTGCATTTTCTTTTTTCCTACAGTGTTTTCTTCGAGAAAATTTTGAATTTTTTTTTAAACTCTGTATTACAAACTCATGAACCAAACGACACTTATGTTTCCTCCCATGCGAGCTCCGTTGCCCGATGTACAAATAGACGATAATGAGCACACGTGCGTTTTTGCACAAAACACCTGCTTTCCAGACGACCAAACACTTCCCATACCTATGTTTTACATCGTTATCAAGGTCGAAAGAAAATACTATCCTGTAGGTTGTACAAGATCAGCTAGAAACCGTGTCATTGATCACGAGAGCACAAGCAAATTCGAGCAACCGATTCACCGTTTGTCGAAATCCGCGATTTCCGACATGCTATCGAGCATCAAACTCCCGTTCGATTGGGAAAGAAATCTCTACTGGAAGGATCGGCGGTTCAACGGTGGAGCTGCAACGCCGCTGAACGGCACCGACGACGTGGTAGCTAGGGTTTCGGAGTTTGCCGGGCTAATGATCCGCTCGGCAGCCGAGATGGGACGCAAGAAGCTCAGCATGCTCGTAACGATCGAGAAGGTAATGGTCATCCTGCGTGAAGATTATGAGTTGATGGTTAGGGCTAGAGAAGAGGAAGAGGCCTTGGAAGGTCATAGATATATGATATCGAGAATGCTAGAACATGATCCGTCGTACGGGTTGGAGAATGCCATGAGTTTATTGAGGAGGCACTCGCCGGCTTTTACCCGAGAGATGGAACAGAATTTAAGGCCGTCGGCGCTTAACGGATATAAACCGGCGGCTAAATCGGCGGTGGAGGCGTTGGAGAGGTTGGTATATGATGGTCGTGGTAGTGAAGATCATCAATCAAAGTTGATGTGCTGCGTTTGCATGGAAGAGATGGTGAGTGGGTCCCTCATGGTTCGGATGCCTTGCTCTCATATGTTTCATCAAAATTGCATTCTCAAGTGGTTGAAGAAGAGTCACATTTGCCCCGTTTGTCGTTTTAATTTGCCAGAAAAAACAACGTAGTAATATTTAGTAGGGAAGCTTTGTTTACGAACTCCGTTTTGGGAAATTATGGTTTTACTCATTAATCAATTACAGTACTCTAGCTATAGCTGGTACTCTATGTAATTGGTTTATAAAATTGTTATGATCAGTTCTTGTTTTAAACTTCTCACTTTAAATAAAGAACTAATTTATTTGAATTGTTAGAATTGTTGTTTTGAAAGTCTCACTTTAAAATAAATAACTAATTTAAAAAATCAAAGTTCCGTTGTTACTTATAATTTAACATCTAACAAGAATTAGGGGAAGAGGAAACAGAGAAATATGGATGTCGATCTTCAAGTTTTAGTTTCAAAATTCCTTTGTGATTTTTAATATGTGAAGGAAAAAAACTGTTAAAAAGTAAAATATTGAGATGTAAATGTCAAACAAGTAAATGGAAGTAATACTAGTTAATGGATTTTCTTTTTGGGAAATAGTAGAAAATAGGCCAATATGAAAAGCTTAAGAAAGTATATAGGCCAATTTTTAGTTATAGAAATTAATAGGCTATAACTTGTCAAGTTATGGTTCATAACCAGATAAGTTATGGATAAATTTGTCAAGTTATGGTTTATATTCAGACAAGTTATGAACAATTATGGACAATAACTTGTCAAGTTATGGTTCATAACCAGACAAGTTATGGACGAAAATAGTAATTTGGCCTATTTATTAACTTATGTAAACTATTGACCTATTAATTTTAATTCATCTAAAATTTTGGCCTACTTCTCTCTTTCTCCCCCCCTTTTTTTTTTAAGGAGAACTAGTCAAGGGATTAAGTGTTGGGGGAAGAGAAATTGATAATTATACATTTTTTTTTTTCTTCTCTACCAACTTAGGGAAATTATTGTCTTGCTACTCCTCAATGTAGTTTTTTTTAGTTTACCAGATTACCGTCTCTGTGTTCCAAAATTTCCTTGGAGTACCATCGTTAAAAAATTAAACACTGCCTTTAGGACAAAATGTTTAAATTGTTTGAAATGTTTACTTTGCAATAATAGTCGGTATTTTCTGTATTCTACTAAATGAAGCCAAAATCTTGTTTTCAAACGTAACATAGACGAGTTTGGTAATGTTGTATATTTTGAAAGAATTATCATTAAAGTGCTGAAAAAAAAAAAAAAAAAAATATATATATATATATATATATGACATAAAACAGTTAAGTGTTTGTTAAACTGTAACCCGTTTGTTCCGCAAGCAGTATTGCAGTCTTAGATAAAATTCAAAGCCCTGTAACTGCGCTCTCCTAGTTGCCACCTTGTGTTCAGCTTTTAATAATTTTGGACTAAATAAAAAAAAAAAAAAGAGAAAATTATTAAACTTATCCTTAAAAGTGTAGTGTATGTATCTGAATTTTTAATCATCACTCTGAATCAATACTCTTTTATTAATTTTGTTAATTCTTTAAAGGTTACTCTTGATTTTTACTCCTCACGCATAAAAATTAGATTAGCTGATGCTATGAAAAGAAACAATAAGGGAGACGATGTAATAGGATATGAAAAAATAACCCTATTAATAAGACATATTTTTGAACTATCCGATCACATCAAATTATATCGTATTTAAAAGAGAGTGACAATTTAGTAGAAACTCGCTGAAAATATACCGTTAAAGAATTGTCCTACCGATAGGATAATTTTTTCATACCTATTAGAATTCTCTGCAAATAAAAACAGAAGCCTTTTTTGCTAGAGAAAAGAGGAGAGTAGTAGGTAATGTGGGCCAGATTTGGCTCCTAGCACAATAATTTGACAATCATACTGCACGTTTGATGTTTGGAGCTCAAACCAAATATGATTGTCTACATTGAGAAACATTCTTGGAAACTATATTTGAATGCATTTACAATTTTTGGGCACCGGGATATCTTAAAACAATACTTTAAAATGGTTGCCTCTCTCACTCTTGGACTTTCTGGCACGCCGTAGTTTTTGCCGGCTCGAAAAGCCCCGTAATAGCCGTGTCACATGGCTAAAATCAAACCTAACTTGAATTCCATGTTCCTGGGAGCAACAATGATCAAAGTTATGCATAACTGAATTTTTTATGAAATTAGAAACTATTTTAAATATAGTCTTGGTGAATATGATTTCTATCAAAGATCAAAACAATGCAATTAATGACATAACAAAGAACTCAGAAATGCATTCCAAAAGTGATCAAAATATTCAAGAGGGTGGACTTCTTAAGGGTAGGGGGGACAAAATTTTGAACCATCGGAACAAGATCGAATGCGATCTTTATAAAAATAAGCAGGCAGCAAAGATTCTCATTCATTTTAAATTACGAAACTGATCATTTATTTTGAGTTTAAAAAAAATCGAAGTGATTACAAAATAATAATACAGTGCATCATAAAATAACCCGTCTTCCCGAACAAATATAGGTGCCAAGAGGTCAAATTATTATTTACTGAAGAGGCACCAAAAGAATCTTACAGAAACTGAATTCAGGCATTTATTTAAATAAGACGAAACATATGGGCAATGAAATTACCTTTTATCTCTATCCGATGATTGAAGACCAGGTTGATCTCAATTTGAAAATAGTAGAAACGGTACTGCACGGTGATAACCTTCAATCAGACTAGCATTATAAAAGAATCAAAGACCAAAATTTCAAATCGGACATTCAGAAATAAATCATCGACCAGGCAACGCGGCTTCTCTCTAGATTAAATATTATAAGTATGATCACGTAATCCATAGTGCATAGTCTTCACACAGATAATTTCTATAAAATCTAACAAAGTGCTAGCACTCCATACATTAAATTCTAACATCTATAGGGAAGAAATGCTCAGATGGAATACAATGACGGGCAACTGAATCTCCTTCCAAGGTTAAAGCACAAAATATAATTGAGAGGAGTTAAACATGTTTTGATCAGAATTCAGAGGTTCAGATCTTCTAAGAAGAGAGACAACATTTGAGAACAAAATTTAAACATTCGTCTTATCACTATGACAGCTTACTTGTATGAAACAGACAACAAATGACAATCAGGCATATATAGAACCCAAAACTATAAACCTAACAAAAATGAACATTTGCATACTAATGATGATAACAAGAACAAACCTTGCAAACTCTCCACTTGAATTACAAGAGAGATCCATGAAAACTAAAAATTTGGAATGAGTACCTACAGTGATCTGATAATAAATGCGAACATAAAGCAACTCGTTTTCTAGAGTATAGTATCGATTGCTGGTTCGACAAAACCAAGAGCTTACCAATCAAAAATATAGTTAGCATCAAGGCAAGTGTAACTTGTAGAGAACATCCATATTGCATGCGTGGTGGGTTATGCAATTGCCTTTGAGATCCACTGACCCGACTGAAAAGCTGCAGAACAGACAGAAGCATGTAAAATTATACCTCTGCAATCCACTTCCCCTTCCAAAAAGAAAATATATACATATGTGTGTGTGTGTGTGTGTAGAGGGGGGAAAAGAAAAAGTAAGAAAAGAAAAGAACCATCACATTGGGAAGTACTACTCTCTTTTCTTTCTTTTCTTTTTGTCCACTTTAAGGCAGATATTATAATTACCTGGTTGAACAAATTAACTGTTCCAGTCGTCCGGGAAAGTTCTCCACACCTTTTCTTCCAGAAAACAAATTTTGAGCCCTTTTCTTTAGGTGTATTCTCAAGTCCTGATATTGATTTATTTCTCTGTACATCATCTTCATCAGCGATTACTATCTTCAAAGCACCAAAATTCGGTGTACTCCACGTTCTTCTACTATTAGTTGTTCTGTCTGCTTGACCAATAATGTCATCCCTTGATCCCAAAATTTCCTTTCCTTCCAGTTCCATTGCATAATTCACATTCTTGTGCATAGGAGATTCATCTTTAACACAAACTATTTCATCAAGAGTATTTCTTTTGCTAGCAGCACTAGAGTGAAGATCTGTATCTCTACTCCAAAAATGACTTTCCTCGCTGCTGCTTTTTGTGGAAGGTCTGACATCTACACATTCGTCCTTGGCACTTTGTGTGATTTGGGGTGTCCCAGAGAGAAATGCGGCTAAATCATCACGTTCCTCTTCATCCAGATTTACCCATCTTAGAGGTAGCTTTCCTTCTTCAAGAAATGATTCTCTCAATGTTGCTTCAACACGGGAAATTTGACTTCCAATGGCTGCAATAAATTGACTATGTCTGGCTGTTGAATTATCATCGCTGCGATGCCCATAGCTCAATCTGACAGCCCTCTCAAACTCTTCTAACTAATCCAACATTTACAGTTCAAAGCAAACATATCACAAAATATAGAATAAAATTTTCAGCTTGAGTTGCATATAAAAGTAAAAGGAAAAATACTCTGTTGAAACCTCCAAACTTTAAATTAACGAGAAAATGAGTGATATGAACTCAATAATCAAATGAGAAACCACAACAGTAACAGAGATTTGGCACCCCAAAAAAAAAGCTCTTAAAAGAACATGGAATTCTTTGGTAGAATACGAAAAAAGTACCCTAGCAGCAGGCCATTGTTTTGAACCATAAGATCTTTATTAACTTTGTCGGTTTTGCATACTTTTTCATTTTGAAGTGATTTTGACCAAATCTAATGATCAAAAGCATGCACTACTGGTACGGATACCCTACCACGGAAATCGCCAAGAAGAAAAGATCCAATATTGGGTTGGTCTTTCAAAAAATGAACCTAATGATAAGGATACAATAGAATTAGCTTACCTGCCATTTCGCAGTACCTAAAGCAGTTTGCAGCTCTCTGGAGAGCTCATCAAGATTGTCCAGTGATGGTCTCTCTCTCCTCTCTCTGACCCATGTCCTGTATGCTGATTCCATTCTGGAAAAACAAAACAGAACAAGAAATTACAAACATTCTCACTGCTACTTTTACAACAATAATTGGCAAGAAACTGAGATAACCAGCGGAAAAATGGTTCGGCATAATCCCTACTGCAAAATTAAGCATCCAAAAAGACTCCAATGACATTATAAAATATACTAACTCCACATCAAGATATCATTTTTCTCAGATTAAAAAACTGAAAATTTGTTCCAAAAAAAAAGGATAAAAAAAGCTACAGGAGAAAACTACCATTTTGTTCAAAAGAAAGTAACAACATGATTTACAACATGATATAAACCATTGTATCCCGATCAATTTTGTAGGAAAACCTAACAGAAAAGATAAAATAAAATCCACGCAGCTAAAGCATAACATGCATACTAAAAACTACAAGCAAACAAAAACGAATTCAAGGATTCAAATACAACCCATCTGAAAATTCTTTACGATATAGCCCGTCTATACATTACCACTAACTAAAAACTGAAAATAATTCATACCCACATAGCCAAAAAAAAAAAAAAAAACTTGGAAGAGAAAAAGAAGGGGAAAATGAAACATACATATCAGCTGATTCTTGGACCTCCTCAGCCGCAGAAAAGAAGGCATCTTTTTGCCACAGATCAAAACTGTTCGCCACCAACATCTTTAACCTCACCAACCAACAACAAAGAGGAATAATTTGGTGCAAACCAAAAAGGCAACCAAGAAAAGTTCCAAAATTTCCCAGAAGATTAAACGTATAATTTGTCTGCTGGGAAAGAGAGATGGATTCGGTCGTGGGTTTTGTCTGTCTTCTTCCCTCTTTCC